ATCTGAAGAAATTAAATTATCAAAATTTGTGTTATTTATTTTTTCATTTCATTTTTTTCAGTTATTTATTTACTTAATTATTTATTTTAATAACAATACCTTTGACATCAAAAAAGTTCATCATGCAGATTTTTATTTTTGGTATAAAAAGTAAAAAGAACAAACAGGATACATTTGAAAGATGTGTAATGTCGACTTCTCCTTTCATTAAGCAATTAAGAAAAAAAAACTATTTTTAGTTTACTATCCCTAAATTTAAACAAATAGCAAGCGAGTAGAGATGTCTTCTTCATCTCTACAACATACAATTTTCAAGTAATTAATTGAATTATTTGGCAAAATAATAACTACAATTAGTGTTTGCAAGGAAGGACGAGTCTTTGTTTAAATGAAAAAAAAATTAAAATCACACTGTGCTCTTTAAAAAAGTATATAATGTGCTGATTTTTGAACACAGGAAAAGGGGCGGGAGCACATGTATGGCAGAAGGAACCACGGTAGTGATGTCTGTAATAACAAACAATTCCTCAGTACATTATATTTTTTTCTGCCTGTTTCAGACAAAATCGTATAGATTCATTATTGAAAAATAAACAAAAACCTCTTTATAACGAGATAACTATCTCGTAATATCTTGTTATAACGAATTAGTATCTCGTTATAAAAAGTTGACATCTCATTATATCTCTGGTAGTGTTAACTCCTGTTATAACGAGTTAGTTACCTCATCATAGCGCCTTAATATCTTCTTTCTTAACGAGATAATTATTTCTTTAATACATAACTAGTATCTAGTAATAACGAGTTAATTACATATATCTCATTATGGCAAGATAGCTATCTTGTTATAACGACTTATCTCGTCATAACTATTAAGTAATAATATCTCGTTATAACAACTTATCTCGTCATAACTATTTAGTATTAATATCTTGTTATGGTGAGAGAGCTATTTCGTTATAACGACTTATCTAATCATAACTATTTAGAATTAATAACTCGTTATAGCGACTTAACTCGTCATAACTATTTAGTATTAACATCTCGTTATAACGACTTATCTCCCCATAACTATTTAGTATTAATATTTCGTTATAACGACTTATCTCGTCACAGCTATTTAGTATTAATATATATTTCGTTATAACGACTTATCTCTTCATAACTATTTAGTATCAATATCTCGTTATAACGACATATCTCGCCATAACTATTTAGTATTAATATCTCGTTATAACGACTTATCACGTCATAACTATTTAGTATTAATATTTCGTTATAAGATAGTTATTATACAGTTAAAGTATATCATTGAGGGAGTTAGCAAGTTTCCAATTCCCCAAGGCCAGGACTATTTCCCGAGGCGAAGCCTGGTCGAGGGGAACTGGAATTTTGCTAACTCCCGCAATGATATACTTTTAACTGTTTTATTATACCGATACAAACGTAAAATTTAGAAGATTCAGATAGCGTGATTTCAAAGCAGGGATTAGCTCACTGAACTAACACACGGGGATTAGTCTATTCACATATCATACCAATGTAAAAGTAAAATCTAGAGGATTACGGATAACCGGGAATTAGCTTTCGAAGCAGGGATTAGCTCACTTGACTAACACACGGGGATTAGTCTATTCTTAGTGATTTCTAGGGAATTAGTCATATCTAACGATCTAATGTTAAATAGGGAAAAAATCAGTAGAGATATAATAATTTGTTATAACGACTTATCTCGCCATAACTATTTAGTAATAATATCTCGTTATAACGGCTTATCTCGTCATAACTATTTAGTATTAATATCTCGTTATAACGACTTATCTCGTCATAACTATTTAGTATTAATATCTCGTTATAACGTCTTATCTCGTCATAACTATTTAGTATTAATATCTCGTTATAACGACATATCTCGCCATAACTATTTAGTATTAATATTTCGTTATAACGACTTATCTCGTCATAACTATTTAGTATTAAGAGGGCTAGGTGGTTGTGGCCATTTTCAGACTATATTGATCTCCTTTAGAAGAAGAGCTCCATGTAAAGATATACAAAAATGATCAAATTTTAAAACTAAAATGTATGAAATTTTTGTTTGCAAAGTGATAGTTGACAGCTTTTAATATATCATATCTAAAAAATTAAGTTATATCTGATGGTTAATTTGTTGACCCCCAGCCTCCTTAATATCTCGTAAAAACGACTTATCTCGCCATAACTATTTAGTATTAATATTTCGTTATAACGACTTATCTCGCCATAACTATTTAGTATTAATATCTCGTTATAACGACTTATCTCGCCATAACTATTTAGTATTAATATTTCGTTATAACGACTTATCTCGCCATAACTATTTAGTATCAATATCTCGTTATAACGACTTATCTCGCCATAACTATTTAGTATTAATATTTCGTAATTACGTCTTATCTCGTCATAACTATTTAGAATTAATAGTTCGTTATAACGACTTATCTCGCCATAACTATTTAGTATTAATATTTCGTTATAACGACTTATTTCGTCATAACTATTTAGTATTAATATCTCGTTATAACGACATATCTCGCCATAACTATTTAGTATTAATATTTCGTTATAACGACATATCTCGCCATAACTATTTAGTATTAATATCTTGTTATAACGACTTATCTCGCCATAACTATTTAGTATTAATATTTCGTTATAACGACATATCTCGCCATAACTATTTAGTATTAATATTTCGTTATAACGACTTACATGTATCTCGCCATAACTATTTAGTATTAATATTTCGTTATAACGACTTATCTCGTCATAACTATTTAGTATTAATATTTCGTTATAACGACTTATTTCGACATAACTATTTAGTTTTAATATCTCGTTATAAGCAGTGTGTTATCTTATTCGATTTTTTTTATCGCTGGAAAGTTATTTCGTAATAAAAACATGAATAACTTGTTAAAACGAGATAAGGGGGTCATTAATAATTAAGTCATTATGGGATACTAAGTCGTTATACTCAGACACTAACTCATTATAACAAAAATCTAACTCGTTACGAGTAAAGTATATGTATTTTGTTATAACGAGTAATATTTTTTATCTTTTCAAATCCAACTTTCGTAGTTTTAAAGCATGATGCAAGGTTTTCTGACATCCCCATCTTCGATGAATTTCGACATGACCTTTTCTCTTTTTTTTTTTTTTTTTTTACTTCAGCAAGCTTTACCATTTTTATTCACTGTTACGCCTACTAGGAATATGTTACGAATCTTACAAAATTTTATAAATCTAAATAAGCTTGCACTTAAATTTTTGCAACGTTTAGATATACATTGTATCTAAAATTGATGAAAAATTCATTGTCAAGATTGGATAATCGGGGAATAGTTCAAATTGTCATGAATATAATATCATAATTGTATAATTTGTACCTTTCACACAACGTCTTGACTTTCTTGTAGCTAAAATTGAATAGAAATCACTTTAAGGGCCACACCTTCAAATATTAGGTTAAACGTAAAGAAAAATGCAGTTGTGGTCAATAACATTTTAAAATTGACTTTTTAGCTTTTGCTTTTAATGTTAGCCTTTACTCAGTGTACAGACACACAATAAAATTTCCGCCGTGTTTCTGTATTTGTTTTGGGGCCCAAACATACTTGCAGTTGCAAAATAAAGGCCGGCCACGAGGCAACGACACTTTTAAATGTTAGGTGTATTCCGAATTCTCACGAAAAAGATGAGACTGTTACACTAACAGCACTCAGACGAAGGAGGTGTTTCTGCATTAGGTGTGTGATTTCGCTGCCGTTTTCATAACTTAAACAGACAACAAGCATATCATTTGGAGATGTTGACTTCTGCTTTTAGCGGCAATATTGTGTTGTGTATCTACAGGTGACATCATATTAAAGGAATTTCGATAGGAAAGTTTCTACTCTTAATATTGAAATCTGTGTCTGCTTTTTATTCTGATTTCCAATTTGGACATTGTCAACTCACATGAAATTAATTTCAATCAACAAACGGTTATATCTGAATCTTAAATTATCTTCTCTGTGTTCTTAATTTTGGTATTGGAAGTTCAATTCAAATGCCTTTATAAGACCATGTAGGGGATTACTTGGGATTAATTTATACCTAAATAACAGAAGAGAATTAGCGTCTAGATAGTGAACCTCCTAGTGGAAAAAGAACGCGCTTCTGTGTCATCCAAATTCACCAAGAAGCGACTCTCTGAACAACTGACAAATTCCATTCGTATCCACCGAATCAAAAATCAAACGTCTATAAGTCGTCTGTCTTCTGGCTTCCCCGCGGTCGACTCGGCGCTGATACCTTTATAATGTGTTGGACGCATTCAAATCTCCGTTAATCCTTCTTCAAATCTATCCAGAGTGAGGCTATCTTGGGTAAATATCGTACGCGTGCCACAGCAGCCCTGAGAAACTGAGGAACATTCTTGTCGGATTCAGGGCTCCGCTATGACAAGAATTCGCTAGTAGTGGTCTATCTTATCCTAGATCGGTGGTAGCTCCATTCTGTCTGTACTACAACACGAACCATCAGTAGCACACATTACTCTATGATATGACCTTTTCTTGAAGCCATTTATGAAATAATTGCAAATTTAATTTGTTGCAAAGTAAGTGTACGTTTTCTCAGATTTGCAACAATTAACATCAAGAACAGACTCATGGACACACATGTATACGGTCATCTTCTTTTTTTTTTTTTTTTTATAAAGATTTAACACAATTCCTCTAGATAATATGCACTTTTTACTGGAATTTTTTTTTCTTATGTGTGTGTGTTTTGTTGATTCATTTTGTTCATTTTTTTTAAAAATGAAATTGTTCTTATAGTCGCATCCCCTTCAAATGAACTATTTGTTTCAAACTTTTTGTTACACACAGTTTATAGTCACTAATCATTTACACACATGATCTAGTGACGTCATTCACCGATATACAATCATAAAAGGAAAACAAAAATTGATATAACAGAACTCGTGAAATATTTATTTGGTAACGGAGAAATTCAATATGTTAACATTACCGAGTAAAATATATATATATTCTATTATGTTATAATAATAAAACAACGAACACATACACAATGATTTTCACGAGAAATCCCTCGTGGCGCAATTATGCAGAGACCAAATATGTCAACATCTATATATTAACTCAAACTTAAAGTTATGTAATTAAGCAATGAATTAGTTTTACACTTAATATATAAATACATTTGCCTATTTTTTCAATCTTAAGAACAAAACGATATTTAAGAGTGGGTGAGCACGTTTGTATGATTATATAAAAATTAAGACAGTTTGGTACTTCCGATATATATATAAAAAAAATCAACAATACAAACAAACAAAAAAATCTATCTAGCATCATGTCAGACTACCTCTGTATGCTTTGTAATATACACTCACAAAATCTTAAGAAAATTGTAAAATAACGCAGACTTTTCAGAGCACGATTCTACAGAATATCTCACCATTAACTATACATGAATGTATATAATGCTCCATTTTATGCAAGCACCACAAATATTTGGTTTCAATGTAAGAGTTTCCAGCAACACCTTCACATATACAGTCCACGGAAAATGAATTTTATTACAAACACAACTACACAAACAGTACATTTAAGCTGAGAGACAGCTAGATTACGTGTATTACTCCGTCTTCAATCTTGTGTGTTTCAAATATGCTTTAACCGATTCATTTCACAGCCTGAAAAAGTTTTTAAAAATTGTATGGGTCATTATTTTTTACTGTCATTTCAAATTTGGAGGGCAATAAAGCATATACAGAACAGTCCGAGAGAGAATCTCCGGGAAAACAATCTGAGCTTGCCCATCCTACCAACAGGTTGACTGCAAACATTTTTTTCTGTCTTAAAAACAATACTCAACATGGAATTTCGGCAGATATTATATATATATATATATATATTAAAACTTAAAAACGTCATAAAATGTAAATTTCATTAAAATTTTCAACAAAATTAATTTTAAAAATGAAAATGCACAAAGAATCTGGGTGATTAGCCGAGCCATATGCCCACATAGCGACTTGGCATTTCACAATCGTTCGACATGTATTTACTAAGACATAGAGATGTGTTGTCAGTACTGACCAAATAAAGATGTCTAGATAGATTATAAACAAACACAATCGACCTTGCTCTTTCTGCTACATATTTTTTTTTAACACGGGTAGTGCCTTTCACATTGATACATTGAGTGTTAACACGTATTGCGCAGATATTTTTATGTCTACATAATGAGAATGGTGAGTTTTTGGTAGCAAAGCGCTTGTAGTAAAAGAAAATACAAATTGGAATACACTTATGTCAATCTTTTATCTACCAATTAAAAAAACACGGTAAATGGTTTTATTAATTATTACAAACATGTATTTATTTTCAGTGAAAAATAGTTTATACCTTTACTTAATAACAAAGTTTTAAAAAAAAACATAACATACGAACACTCTCCTAAAAAGACTTCTGTTTCAACAAATCCTCCCTGACCACTACACCACGCAATCTAAATATTCAGACAAAAAGTGAAATTTGTGAGAAATATATTTATATCTATTGATTTTTTTTATCTGTAGTTACTAAGGCATATGACTTGAAGCTTAGTATATTCCCCCAGATTCTTTGTCACAGAAAAAAAATCTGTTTACAAGAAAAAGAAACGTATATGCTGATTTCTGTACAATGTTTTCTGAGCAATGCATAACCGATAAGATTGATTAAAGAAACAAGCACAAAAGACCACCAGTTGGTATCTATAACCACATCTATTGGTTTTTTAGGGGGTGGTGTGCAGGAACTACAACAAATGTTATGTGGTAACAAATAATTTTTCAGACAACATAAATACCAGAACATGTATGAAAATTTCACAAATTGAATATAAAAGTTCACAATGGAATCTGTAAATATCTTCTATGATCAAATCTGCTGCATGATAACGTTATTTTCATTAAGAAATTAGCAAGAGAGACTTACAATAAATTACAATGATACGAATGTATGCATGCTTATCAATTTGTTATATCCTTAGTCCAATGTACATTGACTGTTGTTCTACAATAATTCAGTAACAAGTTAAAAATGCACTACACATAAATTTCTTAAATAAAATCATAACTATATATTGGCAAGATTTTTAAAAAAAATTGAAATCCAATGCCACAAGTACATTCAAATCTAGGCGAGCAATTTTATTCAGTTAAGGAAAAACACCCTGATAGTATGAATGCTGTTGGAATGAACGGAAGACAAACTCCTATATATATATATATAACCTATGACAGTCAAAATTTTAATGGTAAGATTTTTCCTTTACAGAAAAAACAACCTAGATTGAATGTGTTCTATAGTTTGTGCTTGTTCATCTCAGTTGATCTGTTTTGTAATGTATCTTAGATACTACACACACGAGTCAGAAGCTCTTTGTACAAACACTGCAATTGCCAGCAATTACAAAAATTGTATGTACATTTTGTAACATATTAAAATCTAATCTTGTTCTCAAATATTAAAAAAAATATTTCAAGCTTCAAAATAAATTGGTTTTAACTTGTTTTCCTTTATTAGTATTTGAAATCTTGCTCATTATTTTGTGTTTTCTTAATCACCATTCAGTTTTAGCACTTAAACTTCCAAATCAAAGAAGTGACATGTTATCTGGAAAAATTCTATTGTTTACAATATTTATTATGCAAATAAAATAATTAGTAATTTTGTTAACTTTATATATTTTTCATATTCCATCATGAATTGGATTTCATCTTAAATTTAACACAAATATTATACATGTATCCTTTGCAGCATCTCCATGTATTTACTATGACAGTAAATTCTATGCTCTCACCTTCTTAGTTTCTGTTAAGTCCCTGTCTTAGAATAAGGGTTGAGATACCCTACACACTAAATAAGCATTTTACTGCCAAGATTTTATCATACAAGTATCAGTCTAACAGTTTCCATCCACTGCAGTTTAAACAGGTGTGTTCTGTGACCTGAAACCCAGGACCAGTAGGGAAGAAATGCTCAGGACCCTCCCAGCAGGACCCAATATCATTTAAGATCACATTAACGAATTTTATTATGAAACTTGCCTTTCAAATGCTTTACTTTCAGTTTTGAGGAAAACAAATATCTATTTTGAGTTTGTAAGTTTATGCACACTTCAGTAGATTGTATATGCCCCTGATTATTCTAGCATACCAAACCAGAAAAGAAATAAAGTCTTCTTAAAGTTGGTCTTAATTAAGCACCAACTCTGATATTGAGTAACTAGATCTATAACTCAATTAAAGAATGTCTACCACACAAAATACTGTCCCTTTCTCCATACACTGAAGTTAACCAATACATTTGCAAAGGTGTTGTGGATTAGTGATGGTATAACTATGGTATACTTATAACTAATACATACACTCACATATCTGATAAAGAGATTATTCTCTATGCCAGTTATTTTTTAAGGAATGGATCAAAATAAGTTTACCTGCCTAATTCTATAACCACTAAGATAATTTCATTCAAATAGAGTTCTGGAAAAAGAAACTGCTGACTGTTTAAATAGAGAGTATGAAGAGACTGTGTGATCAGGCTTATACAAAGATGTTACTTTAGCTGTAACTGGCGTATGTAGACTGAGTGATCAGGCCTATACACAGATGTTACTACAGCTGTAACTGGTGTATGTAGACTGAGTGATCAGACATATACACAGATATCACTACAGCTGTAACTGGCGTATGTAGACTGAGTGATCAGACATATACACAGATATCACTACAGCTGTAACTGGCGTATGTAGACTGAGTGATCAGACATATACACAGATATCACTACAGCTATAACTGGCGTACGTAGACTGAGTGATCAGACATATACACAGATATCACTACAGCTGTAACTCTACTGGCATATGTACACGAGGTTACACAGATATTAAGCTGCACTAAGTCCAGTAAATGTCATCTTGTTTGCGGGTATACGCTGGTTTTGTGTGTATTCTGCTGCCATTGGTAGTTTGTTGTTTTTTGTTTCATCTACACAAACAGAATAATACTTCATTTACTTTCACTGGTTTAAATTGTTTGATAATCCATTTCTAAATAAAATTATGTTTGTGCATACTTACAATGCCTTACTTTTTGAACATTTTAAAAATGGATGTCTTTTTTGTGGAAGGGGGTCCCATGAGCATAGGTACTTGGTTTTTGTGTGTAATGTTTATCTGAAATAACAAAAAAATTATTACCAAAACTAAAACAATGTTATATGATATCTGACACTTCTACATATGCTGAAGGATATTTACATGTATATGAGATGGAATAATTTATTGTTGTTGTGAAATTGTGTTTAACTTTTTGATTTTAGTGAACATTCCACAAGGTCAAACAATAATTTGAAGCATAAATCTGCCATGTCAAATATTGATGATTAGACTACTTATTTCCCAAATATACCTCACATTCAAGCAAAAGTTTAGAAAATCGACAAAATAATTACAAACTCACAGTACAAGGGGGCTGTAACCACGGCTCACCATCTATCTGCATAGGGAACCTTTTTCTAGTCCTGCAACAAAATTTACGCACTCATTAATATATAACATTACAATGACGATAAAATAAATGTGCAAGAATATTAAGCTGAAATCTCTCACCTGATCACAACCTGAGTGCACTGTGCGAGGCGCCGCCCTGAGGCCCTCAGACCCGCGTAGACCTGACCCATATGCATGCTATTCTCGAGCCCCACCACTTCAATCATGCTGTCACCAACGTCTGAAACCATAAACATCAAAATATCTCAAAAATCTTCATTAAATAATGTAAGATTATAATATCCCTTCATTGCCTTGGTAAGACCAAGAGTGCTATGAAACATTTAAATGGTTGCTCAAAAGATCTCTGTATAGTTTTAATAGTTATAATGTATGACAACATAAGGAGATATTGAAATATGTACATAACAAGAGGCCCAAGGGCCTTAATAGTCACCTGATTATAATACACCACTGTAAAGGATCCACAAAAGTATAAAATAAAAAAAGAACTATGCACTATTTTCAAAGAAATAATTTTTTTTTTTTACTATATAATCAACAGAGCCCCATCCTAACACTCCCTGAACCAGGGCCCATGAAATTCATAATTTTGGAAGAGGCACCCTTGCTCATCATACCTATATGCTTAGTTTAATTACTTAATACCCAAGAGCAGATTATAAAAGAAAATGCACCTTCTCTATATACTCAATAGATCCCCCACCCCTCAGGTACCCCTGACCCTGTGCCATACATTTCACAATTTAAAAGAAGCATCCTTGCTCATCATAACTATGCACTTGGTTTATCTGCTGGATATCCAGAAGCAGAGAAGAAGACTTGCAAAGAATTAATGCATTTTTACTATATAATCAATAAAGCCCCACCTTAACATCAAAACCTCTGACCTAGGGGCCAGGGAATTCACAACTTTGGAAAAGGCATTTAGTTTGTTTGCTAATACCCAAAAACAGAGGAAGGTATTCAAAGAATTAATGCATTTTCACTATGTAATTAATAGAGCCCAGCCTTTACAATAGAACCTATGACCCAGGGGGCATGAAATTCACTATTTTGAAAGAGGCAACCTTGCTCATCACAACTATGCATTAAGTTTAATTGCTGAATAACCAGAAACAGAGGAGAAGATTTTCAAAGCATTAATTCATTTTCAATATATATCAACCTCATACTGAATCCCTGACCCATGGGCCATGAAATTCACAATTTTGGAAGAGGCACCCTTGCTCATCTTAACTATGCATTAAGTTTGTTTGCTTAATACCAAGGAGGAGAGAAGAAGATTTTCAAAGAATTAATGCATTTTTACCATATAATCAATAGAGCCCCACCTTAACACCAGAAACCTTGACTCAGGAGTTGTGAAATTCACAACTTTGGAAGAGACACCCTTAGTCATCTTAACTATTCATTTAGTTGGTTTGCTGAATACCCAGGATCAGAGGAGATTTTTTAAGGAATAATGCATTTTCACTATATATGCAAATGAACCCTGCCCTATCACCAGAATTCCATGAATTTCACAAGTTTGATAGAGGGCTCAATGCTTATTACAATCATTCCAACAGTTTGACTACTTGATGTCCAGGAGGAAAGAAGAAGATTTTCAAAGATTGCATTTATTTTGATGGTTTTAGCCCCACTCTGCAAGTCCGGGCAGGGGCCATGAAATTCGCAATTTTTGTTCCCCTTCACCTGCTATATGACAAAATTGGTTGAAATTGGTGCACTGGTCCCATAGAAGAAGCTGAAAATGTTCAAAAGTTTATGACCCATGCACATCGCATGGCGACAGACAAAAACAAATAGATGAGTGCCTCAGGTGACCTAAAAAGGTATTTTTCTTCTAGAATTGAAAAGAGAATGGTTTTTACCAGACCTTATTCTTCTAAGAAGAGTAAAAAATTTGAACAGGAAAACAACCATATATTCAAACACAAAAGTGAAAATATCCAGCAACATTGATATATAAGCAATTCATTACACTTTTTCTTGAAATATATTTTCCTTAAGAAAATGTTTTATACACGTCAGGTATATGTCTTAATATTTCAAAGAGTTTCGCTTCCTCATTAATTTAAAATTCCTATTCAAGAAATCCCTCTGTTGTTGCACCAAAATATCTTTTTAATTAATTGCATACATCATTTGATGGGAATTAAATTTAGCAATACAGCTGATCATATTGAATTTTTTCTAACAGTTTCACCAAGGGGAAAATGACATCTTACAAGCTAATGATGTATTTCTTTCCAAAAATCATTTCTGAAACGGTGGTCTTATTTATTGAGTTCCTATCACACCAGGAGACTTGATATATTAACTTCCGACGATGAACATTTATGACAGAAAACAATATTAAACATACAACTCTTGTCAACGGCCAAAAAACCCCGTTAAGATCTTAATCACGTTAGGAATCTGTCGTCATGTGTGGAGATGCTGGGAACACATGGATCATCAAATAGGATTACAACATTTATTCTCTCATCGATGATTTCAAATTAAAAAACATTTCTCTATGTGAACTGTACCGCAGAATTAAGAGGCAGACTTAAGTTCATTTATTTTTTATTTATTGTTTATTTTTATGCTTATTCTATTAAAAAAAATTCAATATTAAATAACTAACTTTATTTGGAGGATTCTTTGAAAGTTAAATCTTTTATATGCACAATCTAAATCTGCAAAATTTCCAGAGAGAGAAAAAGTGTGCAAATAGTGAAAGCACAAATAAAAAAAAATTAATTAGTATTTGTTGCACCTTAACAATATATTTCTTTTGCCATGTTGAGTATGTATAAACAACAGACAGAGGTGTACCTTACATTTGAAATAACAAACAGGTAATATACCTTTATCAGCTGAACAAAAACACGACTTTCTGATACATACGTGTATTTATTGTTTCCTATCACTATCAAGGCATTTGATTTCTCCAATCCATTGTCAAAAGCCTATAATAGTATTAACTGCTGAAAACAATGGTCCTGTTTGATGTTTTTTATTCTTTTTTCTATTCATTGGATTTCACATTTCCACCTTTTTTTACCATTGAAAATTACCCTCATACTGGAATCTCTGTATGTAAATGAGGAGATTAATACAGTGTAAATAAAGAGATCTATTGTTTGCGACCGTGGCAAATCACATTTAGAACGAGGATGAAGTCTTTTTTATGTGGCCATAATTGTGAAGATAATCTTTACCAGTAAAAGACATTTTTCCTCTGAAAAATAAACCAAGAATATTAATTTTGTCAATACAGATTTATAACAGAGGGAAAAAATGCACCATTAGAATCTTAACGGTGTACATTTATATAGAGTGGTGCCAGACTTAATGGGAGAGGGGCCTTTTTTATAATTGCTATGATCGGAGTATATTCAAATTAGCTAAGGTATTACCCTTGTAATTGCTACTTGTAAGTGGTGAAGCTTTTTATTTTACAGGAAACATTTAGTTGAAAATAAAAATTAGACGCGATAAGCATCTGATCATGTGTCACGAAAACGAGAGTGATTAACAAGATCATTTTCGGGTGAATTTAATACCAACACGCTTGAAAACAGCCAATACTTTTATGCAATTTAAATGACAGGAAAGCCATTTACTCCTACTATTTAATTAGAAGTAAATTACTAGAATTATACCATGGTGTCTTGCCATTTTATTTCTATACAGGTCTGATTGACTTTAAATATAAATATTTTCACTCCAGAATGCTTGTTTAAATTTTTATTTACCATATTTATTTTTTAGGGCACTTGTAAAAGGCTTTACACATTGGTCTAAGATCCACAAACAATAAAGACCCTTATAAGACTAACACCAGTACTAGTATATAACTCTAATGATTCAATCCTATCTTCTATGGATTCAAATTTAATCACATACATATATATCAAATCATTAAAACTACTTATCTGGTGAATGATGTAAGACATGATATTTGTTTTTACTTCACTGACTCATCTTAAAGAGAATGGTCTGAAGTATTTTAATAAAGTCTAAATTAAAATGTTTCTTTCCCCTTTGATTGATCCTTGAAAATTGTTCCAACCTTGCTGTTTCTCCAAAACATTTTCTTTTCCTTTTTTCAAATAAAAAGCTACTTGATAAACGTGTGTATTGTCATTTGACCTGTAATACTCTGAGCAGTATGATGAAATTCCCTTATGTACCATACAATGAACATACTTTTGGCTTAAAAACAAACAGTGAGCTTCTATGAACAAACAATCATTAATTTAGGCCTATTTATAAATCTACTTTACTACTACTTTTTAACCTTTTATGCACTTTTCATTTATATGTACATGTAAGGGCCATTGTCACTTGATCCATGGAAACGTGTCACAGCTGTATGAAATATTTCTTAGAATATGGATCTTCAAATGGTTCAACCATTGCACCATCACACTAAAAAGAGTGAGATTTTAACACCTATGATTTCATTAAAAACCCATCCCTCAATTTCATATATTCTGACATTCTGATCCAAGATCATTTCTGAAATTTAACATTAACTATGAAATAGCTAAGCTGATTTATTTGAAAGTTTGATTTTAATAGCGAACCATTTAGTTTCATCACACGAGAGATCCCTTTAATAATTTGGTGTCTGAATTCACTCTCTACATGCACAGACTATTAAGCAATTTTCATCTGTAAGAAATATATGGGATTGATAAAATTTCACATTATTGGTAATTCATAAACCGAGAAGAAAATGTAAATGCCGCTCTGATTTCCATAGAAAATTGATCTTCAAATTACCAATAATTGTGAGAGAATTAGACTTAATTTGTGCAAAAAAGAGTTTTAGTCTCCTATCTCTGAATCAGATATTTGATACTATATAAAATGACTTGTTTCACTTCATAAAAATCTGCATAGAAAAAAAAATCATTTGGAAAAAATAAAGGCTAGAGCTCTTATCTACTTGTGTATTTTTTAAGTTTTTTATTCTGCCTTGAAATCTTGTACACTTTCCTAGAAACTAAGCTAGATGCCAAATTAGGGGAAAAATACCAGTAAATATTGCTAAAGGACTATATACAGTAATGACCAATATATGCCTCCAAATTCAAACTTTGACTGAGAAATATATAATTATGTTGTAATTAAAACAGGGGGACACCTGCAGACTTCAAAGCACTGAATATTTTCATAAGCCATGATGCCATATGTTAGATATGATGTCAAGAAAATGAT